GATAGGAATTTCAATGTATTTATAGATTGTGTAGCATGGACATTTTAACAATATTAATTCTTGCAATTCATGAATTTGGATTATTTTTTCCATTTATTTATGTCATCTGAAGTTTCTTTCTCATCAGTATCTTGTAGTTTCAGCGTACAAGTCTTTTACCTCCTTGGTTAAATTTATTCCTAGGAATTTTATTCTTTGTGGTGCAATTATAAATGGAATTGTTTTCTGAATTTTTCTTTCTGCTGGTTCATTATTAATGAGAAATGTAACAGTCTTTTGAGTATTTGATTAGTATACTTGATTTTGTATCCAACAATTTTACTGAATTTATTTACTGAATTCATTTTAGCAGGTTTTAGTGGAGACTTTAGGTTTTAGTGGAGACTTTACGTATGGTATCGTGTCATCTACAAAGAGTGACAGTTTTACTTTTTCCTTACCATTTTGAATGCCTTTTTATTTCTTGTTCTTGTTTGATTATTGTGGCTAGGATTTTGAATAATATGTGAGTAAAAGTGGTAAGAGTGGGCATCAATGTCTTATTATTGATCTTAAGCTTTTCATCATTGAGTATGATGTTTGCTGTGAGTTTTTCAGTATGACTTTTATTATAGGGATGTATGTTCTGTCTATACCCACTTTAGGAGGGTTTTATGATAAATAAATCTTAAATTTTATCAAATGCTTTTTGTGTATCTGAAGATGATCATGATTTTTATTAATATCATGTGTCCCATAGATTTTGGATTTTTATATTTAGATTTCATAATCTCAATGTATTTTTCTTTAATTTACCCTTTGATTTCTTCATTGATTCATTGGTCGTTCTGTAGTGTGTTGTTTAATATCCACATATTTGTGATTTTTCCTATTTTCCTCTTGAAATTGATTTCCAGTTTCATATCATAGTAGCAAAAAAGATGATTGATATGATTTCATTCTTCTTAAATTTACTGAAACTTGTTTTGTGGCCTAACATGTGATTTATCCTAAAGAATGTTACATGTGCATGCAAGAACAATGTATATCCCTGCTATTGGATAGAATGTTCTGTATACACCTATTAGGTCTATCTAGTCTAATGTCCTGTTTAAAGCTGGTTTTTTTATTGATTTTTGTCTGGATGATTTATCCACTGATGTAAATGGGGTCATTAAAGTCCTTACTGTTCATGTGTTGCTGTCAGTGTCTTCCTTTAAATTTGTTAATATTTGCTTTATATATTAGGTGTTCCTATGTTGGTGCATAAATATTTATAAATGTTCTATCCTCTTGTTGGATTGACTTATTTATCTTTATGTAACATCCTTCTTTTTTTTTTTTTTCCTTTATTACAGTCTTTGTTTTGAAGTCTGTTTTGTCAGATACAAGTATAGCTACACCAGCTTTCTTCCTGTTTTCACTTTCCTGGAATGAAAATTTTCATGGAAATACTTTTTTTCCATCCCTTTGCTTTTACTCTGTTTATCCTTAGATTTATATTTAGTGTCTTCGAGATAACGTACAAATGTATCATTTTTTCATCCATTATCCACTCTTTGATTAGAGAATTTTTTTCACTAACATTTAGTTATTGATAGGTATGACTTATTGCCACATGTTTAGTTATTTTCTGGATGTTTTTGTAGTTCCTCTCCATTCCTTTCTTCTCTTGCTTTCTTCCATTGTGGTTTGGTGACTTTCTTTTGTGTTTTGTTTACATTCCTTTATCTTTAATGTATCTAATATAGGTTTTAGCTCCAAGGTTACCATAAGGTTCACATGTTTTAAATTGACAGAAACTTAAAGTTGAAGGTATTTTAAATCCCTGCATTTTTATTTTCCCATCAACACATTTTATGGTTTTGATGTCATATTTTACATTTTTAAAAAATTTGTACATCCCTTAACTAATTACTGTAATTATAGTTAATTTTACTACTTCTGTCTTTTAACTTTAATACTAGCTTTAAGAAGTCCCTTTAACATTTTTTATAATGCTGGTTTAATGTTTACAAGATCCTTTAGCTTTTTCCTGCCTAGAAAACTTCATCTATCCATCAATTCTGAATGATAGTCTTACTGAGTAGAATATTTTTGGTTGGAAGTATTTCCCTTTCAGTACTTTGAATATATCATACTATTTTCTTCTGGTCTGCAATATATCTGCTGAAAAATCATCTAATAGTCATATGAGGATTCTCTTGTATATAACAAGCTGTTTTTCTCTTACTTCTTTTAAGATTTTTTTTTTTTTTTAATATTTAACTTCTGACATTTTACTTATAACGTGTCTTGGTGTTGATACCTTTGGATTTATCTTCTTTGGAACTCTTTGTGATTCCAGGACCTGGACATCTCTCTCCTTCCCCAAGATAGGTAAGTTTTGAAAGATTATTTCTTCAAATTTATTTCTGTCTCTCTTTTCCTTCTGGAACTCCCGTAATGAAAATATTATTCTGCTTGATGTCCATAGGTCTCTTAAGCGACCTTCACTTATTTATTATTTTTTTGCTACACTCCTTAGGTGAGTCCCTCCACTGTCCCATCTTACAGATTACTGATCCATTCTTATCCTTCCTCTGGTCTACTGCTGAGTTCTTCTCATATATTCTTTCAGTGCAGTTACTGTATTCTTCAGTGCCATGATCTGTTTGGCACTTATATTTTCTATGTCTTTGTTGAAGTTTTCACCGTGCTCATTCATTCTTCTTTATGAATTCGGTGAGCATCTTTATGACCATTACTTTAAATTTTTTAACAGATAGATTACTTATCTCTGTTTCATTAAGGTCTTTCTCTGAGGTTTTGTTTTGTTCTTTTGTTTGGAGCATATTCCTCGTTTCCCCATTTTGCTTTACCCTTTATGTTTGTTTCTATGTATTATATGAAACAATGACTTCTTTCAGTTTTGAAGAAGTAGCTTGTGAACATCTCAACGTTGCCCTGAGCTTGGTTCTCCTGAACCTTTTTGATTGTTTCAGTAACCTGATTTTGTTGTTGCTTTGGCTTATTCATTCTTGATATGTTCCAATTATTGAGGGTGTGCCAAGACCTGTCAGTATACCAAAGAGAATGAACTCAGTCAGCACCTAGTTTCAACTGACCGAAAGCAAAATTCTTAGGCATCAGTTTTTATTGTATATAAACATATATAGTCCTCTGGGACCACAATTGTATACCCATCTATCTCCCGGGCTAGAAGATCTGGAGGTGTCCCCTGGTTGACAGTTGAAAAAATTGAAGTTCAGATGAGTCTATGAGCGCCTTTCTGGAGATATCTGTAAGCTTTGGTGAATCCAAAGAAGGGTGCAAAGCCCATGGCTTTAGTGAGGGCAGCAAAGAGTAAAGGGCTGGGGACAGGGTACATCTGCAGCTTTAAAAATGCTAGAAAAGCGTGCTTGGGTGGGCACATCCTTGGCTTTAATGAGTCTGTGTCCTCCCACACCCACCTGTGCTAGTAAGTTAGAGAGAGGGTAAAAATATGGTTATCAGTGCCTCCATCCTCAAAGAACATCCCAACTTGTTCCTCCTCTGCCTCTGGTAGATATTTTAAGATTAGCAAATAAATCTCCTTCACTTGTCTTTCAGCACCTCTCAAACTGCTTCCTTTGCACTGGTCCTGGGATGAGTGAGTCCAGGACTATCCCCTTGAAAGTGGTATCTGAGATTATACAGTTCTTTGGGTCCCCTGAGTATAAGCCCCATTGGTTTCTAAGGCTAGATGTTTAGAGAGCCTCTCATCTCTCTGATGCAGATCCTAAAGGTGAGGATGCCTGATATGGAGCTCAACTCCTCACTCCTTAGGGAGAAACTCTGGACCCATGAAATTTCCTTCCTATTGTGTAGGTAGGATTTTGGATTTCCTTCCTATTGTGTAGGTAGGATTTTGCATCTCTGCCTCTCCTACCTGTCTTTTTTTTTTTAATTTTTATTTATTTATGATAGTCACACAGAGAGAGAGAGAGAGGCAGAGACACAGGCAGAGGGAGAAGCAGGCTCCATGCACCGGGAGCCCGACGTGGGATTCGATCCCGGGTCTCCAGGATCGCGCCCTGGGCCAAAGGCAGGCACCAAACCACTGCGCCACCCAGGGATCCCTCCTACCTGTCTTGATGTGGTCCTTTTATTCCTTGTTGTGGAGAGAGCTGTTTAGCTTGTTTTTAGTTCTTTTTCATTGTGAATTAGTCCACATATAGCTATAGATTTGGCGTGTCCATGAAAGGAAATGAATTCAGGGTCTTCCTATACCACCAACTTGGAACATCTGCCCCCCACCCCCCACTAATTTCTTTGATGATAGGGGAAACATTTTAGTGAAAGAAAGTTTATGGTGTTTTTATTATTTCTATAAGATAGAGTTACTACCTTTGATTAAATTTCTTATATTTAGCAACTCAAATGCTTTTTCTCTTTAAATATGTTTATGTTTATAATTTCAGTTTTTAACACATCAATTCTTTTTGGTAATTTCTTGGGGCTTATATTGGATAGGATAAGAAATGATTATATGGTTCTAGCCTTGGTAGAAACAAAAATGACATACAGGAGAAAGATAATCCTTTTTTTAAGATTTATTTATTTACTCATGATAGATGTAGAGAGAGAAAGAGAGAGGCATGAGACACAGGAGGACGGAGAAGCAGGCCCTATGCCAGGAGCCCAACGTGGGACTCGATCCCCGCACTCCAGGATCGCTCCCTGGGCCAAAGGCAGGCGCCAAACCGCTGAGCCACCCAGGGATCCCCCAGAAAGATAATCTTTTAAACATTTCTATAAAAATGTATTTTATTGTCTTTGATTCTTTTTACTTTTCAGAGATCCAAAATTATCTTGCCAAAATGTTTTATTTCTTTACATCAAAAAAATTAAAATTCTATTAACCAAATATTTATTTAAAATATTTTTAATGTCTAAAATTTTAATGTATACAATGTTTTTATGTCTCATATTTTTTATGAAACTCCAGAAATCTGAAAATACAATCAGGATAATCTTCTCTATCATATTAATTTTAACAGCAATTCCTGAGTTTGTAACACAAGTGAATATTGCCTTGGAAGCCTTAAGTAAAAACGCTTTGGATATATTTGATGATGATCAATTTGTGGACATCTCAAAGAAGATCTACGATACAATTCATGATATCAGATGTTCAGTCATGATGATTCGAGTAAGTTTGCTTTGCTTTCCATTGAATTATTGCAATGCTCTTTACCATCTGGAATGCTTGGAATGATTGCAAGAAATATTTTATTTCTATTTCATAATGTCAATGCTGAAATCCATTAGAACTTTAGAAATTCATATGTATCCCTGAAGTCAAATCTACTGTCACAAACAACACTTTCACTTATGTATTTGGTTATAACTTATGCAAATGAGCACATTTAACTGCTGTGTGTGCAGAAATGATAGGATTCCTTGTGTTCAGAATTCACTGAGGTGTCACATAGCATGATCAGGAGCCAAAGAAAAATACATAAAGTATTTTGCTTTCTTTTCTTGAATGGAAAGGAAAGGATCTTTCTCATCACTGTATTGAAATTGGTAGGAAAATATGTCTAAAATAGGATGTTTCTAGGGCCAAACCCTCTCATACCAAATTATAGACTCAGACTATTCTGTAAGAAATTTCACTTGGAGCTGACAGGAACAACAAACACTTGAACTGTCCCAGTTTAGGAGTTGTCTATTTGGGAGAATATATGCCATCTTCTTAACGGTGAAAGTGAGCCATTTATTGTGGGCATATATACTGCATACACAGAGACCAGGATTATTTGTTTTTACTTAAATATTAATGTGGAGTGCTTTAAAAAATTTTATTTAAAAAACAGTGGAGGTTTTCTGGAAAATGCACTTAATGTAAATATACGGGGGTATTTTTATCAGGCAGACCCTGAGCCAAAGATTTGTGTTACCATTAGTCTATTTAAGAGAAAGTAAGACTGAAAAAATGAGGTAGGGAGGGGAAGTAAACCAGCAAAATGTAATTATGCATCACTACTGGAAACTAGGGCACAATCCTGCTGGGGAACTTTGGACAATCCTATAGAATGCTCCTCAGAATTACCTTACCTGAGGTGAGCAAAACCCAGTTTATCCACCTATTCATCCTTGATTAAAGGCTACTCCTCCTCAGAGGTTACTTCAGTCTCGTGGCCAAAAAAAGCAACCCTCAGGCAGAGTGGCAGGTGCTTGCAGTAAGAAGATTCAGTAGGAATGGTGAGTGTAATTTGTTAAGTATGAATAGAGTTTAATTTGAAAGCCTTCAGATTTAAGCATTAGTGAAACTATAAAGATGGAACTGGAAGTGCTGAGGATATATGGGCAGAGCACCAATAGTATCTGACTGGCTTGAATGTTACAGTTAGGTTACATGGAGATTCATAAAAATGGAGTCATTTGGGGATCTTGTAAGGAAAAGGGCCAACAAAAGTTGAAGACACTGACAGGGCAGATGAACGCTTATGAAAGAAATTCTAAGAGAAAATCCAAAGGTGTCAAGATATAGGATCTATCACTTCAGAGCATGGGAAAACCCAAGAGCAAACCAATAATACATATAAGAGAGAAACTCACATATCTATTCATGAACATCCAGGAAGTATTTGTTCATATGTAATTGAATAATGTGGCACTTACCAGTACTATGTCTGAGTTACAAAGTACCTTTTCAAATATTTCTTCTAACAAAGGATTTTAAACCTTATCCATGTGGACTAGTGGATTGGTAATAATCCAAAACTGGGAAAATAGGTAGAACTGGGAGAGAAACATTGAGTGAAGACATATGAATTTCAGGAAATAGTCTTTCCAAGTAAAACACTTGCATTTCCAATATTCCTAAGTGAATATGTGAGAAGATGAAACCAGTGAAATAGCTTAGGTGAACCAGGGTAGGAAATGATTTTTTTTCCCTGAAAAACCTATCTAGGGATGAAAAAGTCTTGTAATTTCTCCCATTTGTATTTAAAAATTTCCTTATTATCAAAATAGCTTACTGATTGCAAATCAAATTATCTTTCCATTATTTCCATATATCTTTCATATCCAGCAGTCTCTGTAGGGCAAGATAACAACTTATTGTAATTATTTAACAGCCTAGAGGGCAGTAATTTCCCCCATACTCATCTCTTTCTCAAGGTACATACTTCAATTTATTTTAAACTTTTCCTCATAGGAATAATTTAGTATTTTGTTTTCTTTACTAGTCCTTATTTAACTTTTCAACAAAATTCTCAAATGCGACTATCAAAAAGTAAACTCTAATTATAGCCTGTCCAAAGTCAAATAAAGTGGAAGACTTGTTCTTATGTTATTGCCAATAATACAGTCAACTGCTGTGAACTTATTTTTCTCCCTCTTAAACACCACGATTATTGGATAGACAGTGATTTCCTTTTATTTATTTGTTTTACCCTGTTGTTACCTGTATATTCTTCTCCATTTTGACTTGATATGTTTGCTTTTGGTCATAAATCCTTATCCTATAAAGTGTTTAATATTTTGAAATGATTTTTCATATAATTTATCAGGTTATTTTTAAAATTTGGTTGTGATTGTACCTAAATTAGCATCAATTAGAAACAAGAGATTATAATCTCTAGATTATAATCTAGATTACTAATCAAAATGTTGACTTATATTAAACCTTCCTCTGACTGTAATCTCTGCTAGACAGCTCCCCTTAAGGATCTTAGTGTCAGGGGATCTTAGAAGCTGACATTCCATCCAATGGAGAACATACTGGTAAGTGTATGGTTTAGTAAGAATGTCTTCTGAATTTTGAGGTAGAGCTATTCTTCTTTCAAACACACTTTATGACCTAAAGTAAGTAAGTAAAATGTATTAGAAAGAGCTGCTGCACTTGAAACCATGCAGGTGAATCCAGGGACTCATGTGCCTGCACACCCAGTTCCTTAGGCAGCCTCTAGGGAAGCTTCTATGGAACTTCTACAAGGATTCCTTGGAGGATGATCCATAAATCTGTGTACTTAACTACTAATTGGATTATATGTTGAAAATAGAAGTCTAACTGAGGTGCAATTAATGAAAATCTTTTTTCCCCCTTGAAGACTATCTCTTCATCATAGAAGATAATAAAATTGATCTGGTGTAATCTTCTCTTTATAAGGTCAAATTTGATGCTGACCAATATTCCAGTCTTAGAACTACGAAACATTTGATTCTTTTTCAAAGTACCTAAAGAGTGTCAAGATTAAGGCAATATGTTTATAATTATGCAAGTTCAAGGAGGGCTAGGCTATGCTCTTGAGAGTGTCTGTGAATATTGTGGAATCCTTTGCTATGCCTGAATTTTCAAGAATGCTCTCAGTGCTCTGAAACAATAAAATACTAACCTGAGATCAGTGCCTGAAATTTTACAAATAGTTTTATAAAAATACAGCGGTATCTAACTTTAATATTTATTTTGGAGAATAATTATGTTAGTAACTGTTCAGATTGTTTTTAAAATTCCTATGTGAAAATTCCGTGAAATTTAATATTACTCTCTCCACTGGATTCAGCTTGTGGGCAAATAAGTTTATTGAACCTCACTCCTAACAACCCTAGAGAGAAGGGAGTGTTAAGTGTTTATTATTTTTTTGGTGTTTAATATCGATGTATAAATTTTACAATTCTTGAAAGTCCACAAAATAGTTAAGATTAAAGCAAGTCACAAATCTCACTAACCCTCAGTTTCTTCTTTTGTAAAGCAAACTTTGTATTAAACCTACATCAAAAAAATATTATGCTGACAAAATGAGCTGATAGAAATGAAGTACTCAGTAAATAGTAGTCTTTTATAAGAAAATAGCTATGATTGCTATTACTGTTATGAATAATGCTAGAACTACTGAGGCTGCTTATTACTTTTTTATATTTTGAAGAATATTACCTATAGAAGTAGAATTGTGCCTGCCGGTCAACATGAAACTAAAGTCCAAAAAATACCTTAAAAGGTGAAGTTCTAAATAAAGAAATATATTTTTTCTAAAGTTTTGTTTTATAAAGGATATTTAATATGTTTATTGATTATCTTAATTATAGATTATTTATTTATTTATAGATTTTATTTATTCATGAGAAACACATAGAGGCAGAGACATAGGCAGAAGGAGAAGCAGGCTCCCTGCTGGGACCCTGAGGCAGAACTCAATCCCAGGACCTGGGGATCATGCCCTGAGCTGGACACAGATGCTCAACCACTGGGCCACCAGGAGTCACCGAATTATAGATTATTTAATTCAAATTGTGTCTTTGAGCCTATATTACTTTAAGCTAGCATATAATTCTATATATTGTTTTTATTAATGTCTTGAAATGTGCAAGGACTTGGTTCATCTTTTTGGGAAATGTGCTTAACCAGAAATAGATGTTAAAAAGGGCAACATAATTGAATTGTGAGAAAAATGGGTGGCCAGCAATGAAATGTTCTCAAAAAGAGGAAAAGATTCAGCAAAAATTCAGCCTTTCAAAAGGTATTCAGAATGTGGGCTTCATATATTTTTGTGTGAATTTTCATATGTGACTTATCAAAAGTACATTTTCTAAACCAAATGTGAAGATTTTCAGGACTACCACTAACAGATCTTCTTTGTTAGTTGTCTAACTTTATATTGCAGAGAACAAGAATATATTTTGGATATGTTACTTGCTGAAAGTTAATTTTTGAAGAAACAAAGGAAAATAAAATAAATAAAAAACTATTTACATGGCCCAGTTTCCATGAACTATTTCTATATGAATCATTTACAGGACCCCTATAAATGGAGCACAGTTCAGTATATAACTTAAGCTTATATAGCCAGAAAAAACATTTTTCTCTTTTACAAAAATAATTGATTGATTTTTTAGAGAGAGAGTGCAATAGCAAGAATAGGGGGAGCATGGAGGGGCAGAGAGAGAGAGAATCTTAAGGAGGCTCCACAATCCAATGTGGAGTCCAATGCGGGACTCTGTCTCACGACCCTGAGATCATGACCTGAGCCAAAATCAAGAGGCCAAGGCTTAACTGACTGAGCCACCCAGGTGTCTCAAAAAACCTCTTTTTCTGATTCTACTGTACTTACAGGAGTTGATAAATGGCTTTCACTGGAATTATTTACAATTTTCTTAATTTAGATTACTTCCATTGTCATAATTTCTTGAAATATTTTATTGTTC